AGAGTACTATACGATGCTGGTATGTTACAAAAACCTCGCATAACAGCACCGTGTATAATCCCGGTAGATCTTGTTTAACGAATGTGAATAATCGCGGAGGACCTTCAAGAATTAGACGTAGTGGTATCTACTGGATGGTCTATAGACCGTAGATCACTAGCCAACGGCTTTCTTCAGTTTGCGGTCTTCCCAGAGGAAGTCGCATGGAAGTCAGAGTCGTGTTTGAACACGAGTTTATTTCATAAGTGGACCCTACACGTTCGCTTTTATTGACAATAATCGTATTGTCAATACATTATATATTGACGTCAATACATCGGTATGGACCATAATTCTGTATTCACATCATCAATATTATTGTCAATAAATCCCCTTCGCGTCAATATATTGATACGTGTGGGGTTCGCTATAAGTTTTACAAAGTTTATATAGTTGAAAACGGCTTCAGTATTTTCCATGGTTACTTTGGACATTGGACACTTTATACTGCCCTTTCTGGTTCTTTTACTTCGAGACCTTTAGGTGCGCCGAGTCAAGAAAAAGAAAAAAAAACAGCAAAACACTTGTTCGGTTCGTTTGCATGCATTTATGACCCTTCTCATTCTATCGCGGTACTATGTGGATATGAATGAAGTAAAATGTGGGTTAACGGTGACGTTTGTAAATTGAATTGCGGATACGCTTTTACTCTACTAATTGATTGATCAATCTATCAACCTATCTTAAATTTCATTTTCATCAGTTTTTTACCAAATTTATTTCGATGCAAGGTTAAAACGCAACATTTGCCATATATCTACTCAAATTATGACAATGACAATTTATTTAAAATTTGAGTTAGGCCCTAGGACCAAAAACTGGAGAACTAGTTTAATAACTGACACACTTACCCTACATAAACATTCTATACGACATCAAGGGCAATACCATAAGCTACAAAATGGAACCAATGTTTCCAATTCGAAAACAATGCCAAGAGTAAATTTAATCATTATATTTTACTATCAAAGTTACCCGCATTATCACAGATACCCCGTTTTACGGCACTTCAATAATCATTCTTAGAAAGAGTTCTTCAAACAATTACGTTTCATTAAAATCTTTCGAAACTTGTAACCCGCTCAGCCAATTTTGCTCAAAACTTGACCGATGAATCTTGAACCATTTTACCATACAGCAGCCAAAATATCAAGAATTTTTGTGGACATCCGTAAATTTTGCGTCTCTTTACTTATGACCAGCACTGTGCGTATGTATGTATGTGTATAATGTAGAAACATTCAGTGCAGGTCTCTTTTGTTCAGATGGTCGATGGCGGCGGCTCACTTCCGGTGAACAGGTGGAATACACTTTCTGAGCTTCTCATGTTTCTGATCCAATCGATCAACAAGTGAAGTGAGGTTAGATTGATTGACTCTTGGAGAGAAAATAGCCAACTGTTTGCGATTATGTCGCGCTGGTAATGGATGAAACTACTGATTGCCACCATCAATGTTTTGTTTTCGCTAATTGCCGGTTCATAATTTTAAAAGGAGATTACATCTACCATGTTTTGAAGCCAGCTTTGGCGATTTTTTTTTGTTAGGATAATGTTTTGTTAGGGTGTAACAGTTTTTGGACCTTGTGGTCCTCTTATTGGTCCTATCTTAAATTTAACATTTTTACATTATTTTCAAATTTCGTTTCGATACAAGGGTAGAACATATACTTGGCCAAAAATCCACGAACATTAAACCATGAAAATATATTTCAAATTTGAGTTAGGCCCTAGGGCCATAAACTGGAGCACTAATGTCATAACTGGCACACTTACCCTATACAACATTACAAAAGTATTCTCAGATTCACTGTTTTTGAATAACTGCAGCTCATTATATTCATTACGTTCTAAACATTCACTCTATTGGATAACAAATGTATTGGCAAACAACACTCATTTGTCATGAAATATTGGAATTAAACGGATTTTGTTTTGTCTATTAAAACGTCTAAACATCGTTTTGTATACTAAACCATGTTTAGACGATTGTTTTAATAGACATAACAATATGCGGAAGAAGGTTAGAAAAGGTAAAACACTGTTAAACTTTCAACTAATGGAGTCTAAAACATTGGTTTCAATGTTCGGCATTCGAAAAAAATTCTAAGAGGCTGTTCATATAATTTGTAGACCGTTTTTACCCTTCTTACAAAGAAGGGTATACCCTAATAAACGGGTACCATACTCTAACGATATCATAGATGGTACGACTATCCCACATAAAGTTGGGATGATATCCCGAATTGGTGGTTAGGCGCTTCTTATGGTTATTGTTTATGCGGGTAGATATCACTTGAAAAACCGACTATCGATCCGAGGCCCGGAGGGCCAAGTGTCATATACCATTCGACTCAGCTCGACGAGATCGGAACATGTCTGTGTGTGTGTGTGTGTGTACGTGTGTATGTGTGTATGTGTGTGTGTATGTAACGAAATGAATGCGCTCACGTTTCTCAGCAACCGCTCAACCGATTTGGACAAACTCGGCGCCAAATGATAGGTCTTGGGGTCGCTATTGAACGCTATTGAACGGTTTTGGAATCGGTGAAACGGTTCCGGAGATATGGCCGGAATAAGATCCGGTGAATATGGGCTTTCACGCTGGATTTAACGGAAAGCGTATCAAAACCATCATGCGACACATCAAATTACTACAGAATTCAAAAATAAGATCAATGCAAGTCGTGTTAAGTGTTCCAGACCACATTGGACACACTTGGACATGTTCCGGGTACCCCGGGGAAGTTGCTTGAATATGAATTGAATTAAAACCCATTAAAATACGATGATAAGGTGATTGGTAGCCTCACCAAATAGACTACACCCGGATATATTCCGGGTACCCCCAGGCAGTGGCGTAGCGTCACTGGATGACACGGGGTGGGGGGGTTGGTCACTGATAATGACAATAAAATAAATAAACTTGAATAAGTAAGAAGGGTCTGATCACACCATAGGTGGATAAATTCGGGTTTTTTTTAGAGGTATTAGATCCCCCTCCCGCACAAACAATCGCTCATACAATTGTTTTTGAAATGTATATGTAGACAATCACTTACCAAAATCGCCTAACTCTGAGCTGTTCAAATTTTGACGATTTTTTTAAATATCTAAATTTCATTCTGAGGTTTTGCAAAAATGTCTTATTCAATAGTCTTGCAATTTACTTAAGCTCCAATATATAGAAGTTCATATTTTTCGATTATTTTATTAATCTAGAGTAAAATCGTTAAGCCTCGCTCGTACAGAAGATTTTTCGTTGCTTTGAAATGAAAAATGTGTTTCTGAAAACAAGTGCTAGATCCAAACATATTCCGAATGGTTTAAAATGATCGATTTCGTTGAAAAAGCTTTCGATTAAAATCAATACTATTTTAATTGTTTTACAATAGTTGAACTGTTGAAAGAAAAAAAGGTATGAATGAAAATAATGGGCACACATACAAGGTTAAACCGTTTAAAAACAATATTGCACTTGAAGAAAAATAATGAGACATGTCCGTGGTTGAATATGCCCAGCTGATCAATTAAACCGCGTTTTACAGTACGAATGAATCAGCTGCGTTCTTCTTTTTTTTGTGATTAGAATTAGAAAAAAGTTATAACAACTGACAAAAAAATCAGCTCTACAAATCAATGTGTGAATAATTTCCTCCCATACAAAAACAGCATATCATTAGCTCGTTTGTTTTCCATAAACAAATCATAGAAGTGCTAATTTATAACGTCACCTTATTGTGTGCCGGTGTCAACATCTAATTTTATGACAACTAATTTGTTTAATTTCCAATCAAAAGCACTCTGCCTACTTAATAAACATCCTAATACACACACTTGATGGTAGTATCCATTCCGCTGCGTGATTTAACTAAACGGATGCATTTAAAGCCGTTGTCTCCGGCGAAAAGCTATGCTAATGTGCTGAATCTTATTTAACTTGATTACTTTTTTTCTGCCGTTGCTGTTGACTTGGCTGTTGTGCAGTAGCTACTACGAACGAACGGATATCATGTACGATGGATATGTGCTTCCATTTAGGTGACTATCAATGATCACGCTACTATTTGCTATTGCTTTAAAGGAGCATCCATTAAGTACGTCATGAAAAATTCTGGGAATAATAAACCCTCCCTCCTCTCCTCCCTTTCGTCATGTTTTTCCTATAACTTATACATTGTTTGCCACGGATTTCTCTCCCTTACGAGCGTGACGTACTTAATGGATCGCCTCTTATACGTAGCACACCTCCCCGTCTCTCCATCGCACCGCTAGAAGAGGTGCATAGCGCATTATTCAAAGCAACTCATGACATGAGTGCGATCACAAACTACATACTTATTTCCTTCCCCTGCTACACTTGACGCTGATGGGTTTGGTGTAAATGTTGCGCAAATTATGCGAGTAGAATGTTTCCATTAAACTTATGTTGCATTACTAATTAACACATTAGTAAAAATGAAAGCTACCGGCTTGAAAGCAGTTGTCTGCTCTTATTACATTTTCCACACTATGGATTTCGCTTTCTACACCTGTTTCCCATGTCCAGCCGGTTGAGGCAGTTTTTTTTTCGATAAATAAAAACAATTATGGCTAGGTATCCATTAAATTATGTTGTGCAAAAGGATTTTCAACAAATGGACTTCTAACAATTACCAAAATCTTGTACAATAACTTTGCCAATAAGTAGTCTTTTCACTCCCACCATTCGCTAATGGCTGTTTGCCATGGCCCTATCTTTTTTTTTGCAAAGCGTAATTAATTTAACTACTGCGGATTACCCGAGTTATCAGAGCGTTCCGGAAATTTCTTTGCAAATTTAATTTTTCGACTACGTCGCTGGCTGCTACCACTATCTGCTGTAGAAAAGATGCACCACAGTAGATAGTGGTACTCTCGTTGATCCACGTGCTGTGCCACTGCCACTAATCGGTTTCCTTTTTCTATTTCTATTTCATTACAGTTCTACACACATCGGCAAGTTTAGCGTTGAACGAAAGCTGGGATCCGGACGTACGGTAAGTTGTTTGTTGTTACCAAGGAGTTCAGTAGAGTTTTCGGGAATTTAGTTCATTCGTGACGATGGAAAATGAGCGGAACTTTACTCTTCACTAGGGTAAATGTGTAATTTTATGGTTGGAGTGTTTCAGTAGTTGAATTTGCTCTTGCAGACTGGAAATCAAATCCCCCCCCCCCAATTTTGGTCCTATTCAGCAGAAAACATAAAATATATCCATGATTTCGGCGTAAACGAGTCAATTATATGTACGATACTTTAGATCAAAAGCTAGCAAACAAAAAACCTATAAGAACGCTTGGAATGTTCAATTCATGCATATTATCAAAGAAAAAAAATCTGCTGAATCGATTGGTGGTAGTCTCATTGGCCGGAGACTTTTACGTACCGAGATAGAGCCGGGATCAACCCGAGTTCCCAGTAAAGTAGGATACCTATGCCACTATATATCGACATAATTGTACACATTACTTAACTTATATGACTGGAAATTGATAGTACTAAGTATATTTGGTGTAAAGACACCATATACGCCCTCAGGGAAACTCTACTGGCCAAAAAGAGGATCCGGAACGATAGATAGAGTGGCCACATTATAAAAAATGTCCTAGAACCTTGTAATTTTTTCTATGTTGTTCAGAATCAAGAGATCAAAGCGTAATTAATATGGAAACTATATTTTGGGGTATAGCGGCCATATTATGGTTCTCCAAATAATCTGGATTGACCGATGAAGTGGCCACATATCAAAGAATATGTTAAATACGCTTTGATCTCTTGATTCTGAACAACATAGAAAAAATCACAAGGTTCTAAGACATTTTTTTTATAATGTGGCCACTCTATCGGTCGTTCCGGATCCTCCTTTAGGCCAGTAGAGTTTCCCCGAGGGCATATAAATATACGTTAACTAATGTGTACAATTATGTCCTTAGATAGTGGCATAGGTATCCTACTTTACTGGGAACTCGGATTGATCCCGGCCGTCTATCTCGGTAGGCAAAAGTCTTCGGCCAATGAGACTACCACCAATCGATTCAGCAGAGTTTTTCCTTTGAGAATATGTATAACATGTTGACTGAAACCGTTTGGCAGCCGAGATATTCAATTTAGTCGCGGTTTTGTCAATTTTTGCCCACTGTGCAATGGGTCTGGGTTCAATCCCAGCCGAGGTCGGTGGGATTTTTTCTGAGGCTTAAAAATCTCTGGTCACGTCTTCCTTCGGAAGGAAAGTAAAGCCGTTGATCCCGGACCATTTGTTGTGTTTGAATGGGTGCGATATCCTACGCAGGAGTGGAAGCTGCCTTCCAGCACATTCGATTGCCGTCAATGGATGGCAATCGATGTCCGTCTGTGATTGGCACTAGATTGCGGAACAGAGACCGATGTTAAAAAAAAGAAGCGCTCTGACCGAATCCATTTTGCATTACATGTTTAACTTTATCCGTACGCAAAAGTGAATTCAATGGTGTTTCAATGCATTAGGATGCAATCAAAATTCGTAGGCCGAGTTTAGAGTCAAGAAAGGGTTTTAGATTTTCAACAATATCTCGACTCCTTATCAAATGTAACGGTATTTATGGAAAGGTAATGAAATATGGAATACAACTACAGTAGGAACATTCCATTTGTAAAAAACATCCGCTCTAAAAACAAAGACAAAGTGTAGGTTGTGCTTAGGCTGTGTTTCATTTGGTGAATTTTCACTTCATTTTGACTGATGGAAAAGTTTCAAATAAACCTGGAATGCTAGCAAACTTATTTTTGACAGACAAGGAATCAGTTTTGACTGACACCTTCTCGTAAATTGGCCGATGCACAATAGAGGGATTTTCAAACATTTTAATATATTTTCGAAGTGTAAAATTTAGTGAAAATTCACCAAACGACTTAGCATGACCATGATTGACCGCCCGCGGATGTTATTCTGTATTGCCAGATCAGCTGAAATTACACAGAGAACCAATAGACGATGCTTGGGACTAGCATTCATCCTCAATATGTAAAAACTGGTGATCTCAAACTAGGCAATACCAGCGCCGGCCGCGCCCGAACGCAGGTCAATATAGGAATGGGTAGGACTGTGTTAACGTGACACTCGCTTTGATGGAAGCCAAGGAGTCCTCTGCACTTCCACGAGAAATCACTGGGATGTTGGATAAAAGGGTTGGGTTTGCAGCAGGATTCGTTTTGATAAACGATAAGCTGAATTGATATCCTAACGCGAAGAAGCTTAGGATTCAATCCACGCACAGTGCACAGTGATCCAGAATGCAGATAATGATATGTTTTGAACCTGAAATTGAAACTTTAGGCTAAAAGTCTCTTCTACAAAGTTGTTCCTTGTAGTTAGGCCCTCATTTTTATGACAATGACTTCTAGGGTAGTTCTTATTATCATGAAAAAAATTAAGGTATACGGCAGCAAAGTTATAGCTGAGCTAATTTCAAACAACAGTTGTTTTACTCTAGTTTTCTTATTTTAAATTTCTCAGCAAAGGTGTCTGCAAATAACATTTAGATCTTTGGAAGGCACAAATTTTTGCTGCAAAGAGCTTGTCGATATCTTTCGCCGATCAAGAGTTTTTTCTACTAAAAATATGCCCTTTTCAAATGTTAATATCTCTAGTTGGGGCAAAGTTTTTTTACGGCATTTGAAATGGCGTATGTTATTCTCAATAATATGAAAAAATGAAGGTATTTTATTTTTTAACTCGTATGAAATCAGTGCTCCGAGACTGAAAAGTTCGAAAGTACGTATGATTTCAGCTCAATCAAACGTACTTTCGAACTTTTCAGTCTCGGAGCACTTAATTTTACATGACATGTTTGTTTACGTCTCATCCTTTATGTCAAAGATGGATTTCGTCACGTGTAAGATGACTCAATTTTATGTAAAAATTGACGTTCGTATATGTCAGTCTCAGAGCACCTATATTTACATCAATTTTTCTAAGTGTGTGGTCGCAGCAGATGAAAAAAAAAACCAAATTTCCTTATAACTAGAAATCCTCTTCTTTTCAGAATTTTTTTTTCTACTTCCATCGAAAGTTTGTCTGACTTTACTCGGAAGATACTTGCGTGTTTTCTTGGTAGTTTCATTTGATTCCCGCTGGGATTTTATGACAACTTTCCAATTATCCCTTGATGTTCAACCCGGCATTCTCCAGAATTATTTCTGGCATTGCCCGGTGTTCTCTTCTAGCTGCTCCTAGAAATTTCTTCATTCGAAAATCTTCCTGGCTTGCGCTGAAAGATTGTTTTGCCATTCTCCATAAGATTCCTCTGATCTAACCCAGGAGGTTCCTTCCTGCTTTCGTCTTCTCTGGGAAGCTTTTACAACTTCCGCAGGAAGTTTCTTTCCAGCACTACCAGATGATTAACCGACTTCCTCAGGATTCCTCCATACTTCTCCCGAACGTTTTATCTCGTAAATGTTTGCGGCCCTAGTGGTCATTTAATTTTCAGGTTGTTTTGTTTCATTTTTCATTCTTTTCTTAGCTTAATTTGATACAGGGTTAGAACATTAATTTTGCCATATATCTACGCAAATTGAATCATGAAAAATATTTCTCCTGGAACTGTCTTCCGAATCCAATCAGAAGTTATCAAGCTTTTTTAAGATTTCCCCATGAAGTTTTTTCCGTACACCCCAGAACTTTATTACAATTTTCCACAAAAGTTCATACCGATTTTGATCGGATTATTTTCGGATTTCCATCAGAAGTGTCTTCTAATTAGCTCCACAAGTGGCTTCCTGTTTCCTCCGGTTAGTTCTTTCAACTTCCCGCAATAACTTCTTGAAAAAAAAATCATCTCAGACATTACAGCGTAGCTACATGCTTTTCACAGTCGTATAATACCTCCACATATCACTTTGATCCGCGCATTGCAATCGATTTATAACCTAATATACGGCTTAACGAGGTTTAATTTTAATTTTTCAGGGACGATATGGAAATGATGCTAAATAAGATTGTACCGGAAGGACTACCGTACCGACATTCCTGCGAAGGTCCAGACGACATGGTAAGTATCCTTGGCGCTCCAAAAACTGTAGAACGATCGCTCATGGGATTTTTTTGTTTTTAGCCCGCCCACGTGAAAGCGTGTTTTCTCGGCAGCTCACTGACAATCCCAATTACCGATGGTAAACTGTCTCTAGGCACGTGGCAGGGCGTGTGGCTTTGCGAGCACCGTGATCACGCTGGCTCCCGCAAGCTGGTGATAACGTTGTCCGGCTGCCCCCGGGACTCTGCCCGAAGTCCACTCTCGCCGGTATCGCCAATTGCGTCCACCTCCAGTTAGGGACGGCCACGCTCTGCTCGCGATAGTCGGTAATCGTGGGTTAGAGCGGTGCTCTGCTGTAAGTTTCATACTAATAAGGGTCATAACACTATTGGAGTAAGCTCTAAGAGACGGAGGTTAAAGAAGGGGATGATAACCTATACATAATTATGTTAATTATAAAGTGATGGCAGAAAACCAGAAATAATTAATGAAGGAATGAACAATTTGCCGCAGATTTAAATAAATCAATAATGACGCAAAACGAATACGGAGCAAGTCTAGGTAAGACAGAAAACTTACTAATAAATCTAACGAGTAACTTAGATACATGAACCGGGGAGCGAAGGAAACATCAAAAAAGAATATTTAATTTACAATTTATATGAGGTAATAGATACTTAGATATAAAAAAAAATAGAAATCGCTAAACAAATTTCATATGAAAGAAAAAAACGCAATGATAATAGCATTTAAGATGTCTACATGGAAGTTAAAGAAAATGAAGAGGAAAACTCGGAAAAGAAATAATTTTTACCAGCAGAATTAGGAACAAAGAATACTAGGTTTTTACTTTTATGATTTTTAATTCGTCAGGAATCGCAACATGAGACAACTAGTAAAACTAATGAATAGCTGAAATACCAAACCCAAGGTTAGATGTAGATACGTAATGTTTTGTTTTGCTTTATTTCACAGATTTTTTGTTACGTTCATTTCAGTCCGACGGTATTACAAAGGGTACTTATGATATGCACAAACTGTAACCCTGAATATTGTTCCCCGAAGTTCGAATCCACGGGAAGTGGTAGGTTACCAAATGCCAGTAGCTTTAGCGCCTCCTTCAAAATGAAGGGCCACTGGTACTGTCGTAAGTCCGGCCAGAGACTCTAAATCAGGGCAGGTTTTTTTTCCCTAGACACTTCCACCCACATTCTAACCCCGAAAACCAATTTCACAGGAAACCAAATTCGATTAAAAATTAGCTAACTAAAGAATCAAAGCTGTTCTAAAACTTTTAAAACTGAAAATTCGAGCCCTTTCAATAAGTTTTGTTTAAATCAAGCAAAAAGCAAAGGCAGAAACTATTAACCTACGGGTATCTAACAACTAGTATATTTACAAAGTTTTCAACTTTTTCCTCTAATTTTCAGAACTCATTGAATGCGAACAAAAGGAACGTTATTACTTTGGCTGGCATAATGGCGTTGCCGCATGAGGTTGTTCGGACTGTGGTTGGAATTGTCGTAATCTAGTGTGGCCGCACAGCGGATTCGATGGGTAAATTTTCACCCGGAATCAAAATGCGGTGGTTACGATGCTGATTGCCACCTAAGTAGCGACAACCGAGTGTGTCTACGGCGACTTTGACACTCCAGACTAGCACCCACGTTGAATGGTAAAAGCCACCTCTTAGTCCAGCCGTTTTCTCTTCACATTTTTTTTGACTCAATTCCACAATGAAAAGCACTTACAGACTATCAACCATTAAGCGTTTTATAAAAAAAATAACACAATCGAATCTAGGTTTGCTTAACTTCAATCGACCTTACTTCGCCAGCGGTTTCCACCTGAACCCGATCAGCTATCGTTTTGTGCCTTTTTATTTTTGTTTAAATATGTTTTTTTCACACATACATTGAAACACAAAATGAAAGGATATAATCATTAAAATGACAATACATATAAAAGAGCAGCTCTTACAGAATATGTATTTATTTTCCAATTGTAGGATATTCTCATCTGGAGTTAAGTCCTGGAAGTAGTTGCCTCTAACTTGAACCATCTTGTTGTTCCGTACACGATCCCATTTGTTTCGGAGATGCTCTGATCCATTCTTTCCTTATACACAAGCTTCCTTGTCCGTCACTACAGCAACGCTCAATCTTACTAAAACCGTGAAACCCGTACGAACAACATCGCGCAATGCTACCGGACGCATTGTCTGAGCTCCGGTTACGAGTCTACATTCAACCGCCTTATACAATTGGCCTTCAGCAACATATTCAGAGCTTCTTCGGGTCCTAGACGTATCTTGCCGAAGATATATTTGAGGATACCAGTATTTTCTCTCCACATTTCGGTCACAGAATAACTTGGATGTTGCTCCTTCCACAGCTTTCATCGTGAAATGATGCTAATGATGATGATGATCTCACCTCTTACCCCTACAAAGATTTGAGCTGGACGATTTATCTTTAAGATAATTAAATATAACATTTTAACAAGGTTAGCAAACAAAATCGAACGGGTTACAGTTACAGATATGAATTCTCTCTAGAGTTTACAGTTGCTAAATTATCATCACCCATACGATTGTACAGGTGCCACGTAGCCTTTGCTGACCAACCAAGTTTTAGCACTCCTTCTTTGACATGTTCTACCTTAAGAGTTGCTCCCAAGACTTGAACTGGAGAGGCATTCTCGTTCACGGTATACTTGCGAGAAGGAGGCTTTGTACGACTGTCTCACAACACCAAAGCAAGCTATGTCCATAACAGGCTTCACTACACGCTAACTTGAAAGTACCCATTAATGTTTGAAAAAGACCCATTTTGAAGAAAAGTGGCTTAACTCATTAAATGAGTAAATTTTTTACCCATTAATGAGTATCTGTTACCCATTGATGAGTAATTGTTAATCATTAATGGGTAACAGATACTCATTAATGGGTAAAATTGTTTAATCATTAATGAGTTAAGCCACTTTTCTTCAAAATTGGTCTTTTTTTACTCATTAATGAGTACTTTCAAGTTAGCGTGTAACCCTTTCATTTTTCCGCGGTCAAGTTTGTATGGTGGATCATAACCACCTGTTCCCTAATTATTACTTTCGATGAGTAATAAGGTCCTCAACAACGGTGTCAAATTCAGGGCTGTTACAAGATCTTTAAAATTTGATCCGCGAAATCCGCGACTTCAAATACTAATCCGCGACAGACTAAAAACTGTTTTCATTGCTTGTAAATACCATTTGCATTACTACTACATGGTCTTTCAAGCTTATTGCTTATAGCATATTAGTTGTTTGCTTGCTCTCAACTTAGTGTTTTGAAGCGCTTCAACATTTTAACCGAGAGCTTTCTATGCCTGTGCAATCCTATGCCCAAGGAAGTCGAGAAATCTTCCATCCTTCCATCAAATCTTCGTAGCTGTGCCTCTACCAACTGAGCTAAGGGAGTGTGTACCATTTTGAAAAACAAATAACAATGTATCATATTCAGTTATGTTCTTGGTAGTATAAATTCTGACTTTTTAGTGAACATCATAAAACACATTATGAGATTCAAATTAATAAAAGCGACATAGCTTTTCTGAAACATTATTTGAAATGAAAATTAACTTGAAAATCATCATTAATCAAAACGAATTACCAGGCAATAAATTTAATTTGAGGTTTTCATTTTGAACAAAATTAATACTGCTTAGGAGTTTTGATGAAATTTTTATGGTAATTACAACCAAAATTCAAAAAAAAAAAATAAATTCGGAATTCCGAAGATAGCTTTAACAACATCTTGACGATCATTTCTAAGGAATTCTGAGGATTATTCCTAAAATATTCCGGCGATAATTTTTAGAAAATGTAAAAGAGATTTCCAAGGAAATTGTGAGAGCATTTCAAAGAATTAATGGAAATTCTGAGCAGGACTAAAAATAAACTCCTATGCAAATTTCAAGAAAATAAATACTAAGGAGAACTTCAAGTGTTTTTTCAGGTAATTTCAGCATTTCCGAGTGAATTCAGAGAGTGTTCTGCAGAAGGTTTTCAAGTGTATTGTAGAGGAAATTATTAAAGAATTCAATTTTTCCACAATTGGACACAGAAAAGGTCAAAGATTCAAGGTTTGGGAAAAAATTGAAATCCCGAGGCTAAGATTTTTAGAGATTTCATGCTTAGAAAATTATATGATGCAAAATCCAAATCTTCATTGCTCAGGGTGTTTAATTTAAAATTAAATATTCCGGACATGGATTAGGGAACGTGAGAAGTTTTTAAGTTCCAAAAGTAGAATAAATATTTGAATCATCGAACTTTGAAATTTAAAGTTGCGGGCTTGAAATATCTCAAATGACTGAGACTTCATTCCTCTAATTCTGGGATTTTTCAACTTTGAAACTTTTTTCTCCATGTTTACCCGTTAATTTGGAAATGTTTCCGGTATGCACAACACATATAAACTAAAATTAAGCATAGACCCGAAAAACGAAAGGATCACTAGGTTAAATGGGTCATTACTAAGACAGCAGCATTTTTCCTGAGACGATGCGGACCTGTGTTCGAATTCTTCAAAATTTGTCTATAGTCCAACATCCCTGAAGCGCAAAAAACCTTTACAGGATTTTATTATAATATTCTCAAACATATCCTTTTGCACCTTTTCTCAGCGTTTATTTCAGAATTCTTCTAAAATAAGATTGAGATTATCTCTGAGATATAAAAAAATATTTATAACAGTCTACAAATTTTACAGCTTTTCTAGGAAGATTCCTGCTAAAATTCCACTCAAAATTAGCATTAATTCTCATTTAAATTCCCAAACAATTCACTTCAAAATTATCTTGAAATTTGGTTAAGAATTATCTTGTAATTTTGTTCTGAATTATCTTGGACTTCTTCTCTAAGTTCTGTTGTAATTTTGCTTGGAAATTTCCTTAAAATTATCTAGAAATTCATTTCGTGATGTCCTTGGAATTAGCATACGTAGACACCCTGCATAAGAACTACAAAAAATGTTACTTCAATTTCATTAAATAAATTCACAAGAAAAGACGACGAAGGCATAAGAAGCCTACATACTTACAAATAATATTGGTAGATAAGAGATAAATAATTAATAATGACGGCAAGATTTTTGATGGTTCTGAAACTTTCTGATCTGTTCCAAACCCTCAACATGAGGTAGGGTAACTTTGACATAAACTTATTTTAACTGTCATAATACCGATCCTGCAAAATGCGTGTCGTTGCTGTGACACAGCCTACCCGTCTCGATACCGTGAAGCGAGTAGTTGTAATTCACTTGCAATATTGCATTTAAATTAAATACTGCATTTCCAGATTTCAATTCTAATATATAAGTTTAAAGTGTAAGCATCTGAGTCATGCTGTAGTAGTAATCATACTTCAAAATATTTTGCAACTAATAATGGAAAACTGGATGAATTCTAAAATAACTGGAAGATTTCAAACATTAACTGGCATCACTGCTCTGTACATCATAAAACACGATAAATAGAAAATCGTATTCCGTTTTCGTAGCACATCAGTCCCTTCGTGATTTTCGCGACATTTTTTAATGTATCCGCGATTTTCGCAACTGAAAGTTCAAATCCGCTACAAAACCGCGAAAATCGCGGAATCCGCGAAATTCGCGAAATCCGCGCCTGTTGTAACAGCCCTGCAAATTTGAACGAATTTGGTTATGATCCGGATTTGTGGGAGAAGTTTATATTTTATATGGGAAACGATACCCGCCTATTCATTTGCTTGCCAAAAATTCAAATATTGCTCAAATTTCAATAAATCTTGGAAATATATTAGGATTATTATGCAGAATAACTTCATCGAAGACTGCAAATCGCTTAGACTTCTGGGAAAACGCTTATTATTATATTATTGTAGACCAATTGCTCTGCGCATACCTACAGGCGTATATATGAGCTTGTAGGTACGTGTGGAACACTTGGTCTAAGATTGGTGAAATTTGAGCAATATATTGATTTTTCGTTTGATGATTGATCGTTTCGTTTCCCATACAAAATTTAAAGTTCTCCCGCCTATTCGAGATTATAATTAAATTTGATCAAATTTTGCACAGTTATCGGGAATCTCAATACGCATTAAAAGTGCAGTGGAGAACTGGGGGTTGTAAAGTTGACCCACCCTAGTGTAACACTGCCCAAATAATCGAAGTCAAACAGATGGTGTAATGAATTATGATTAAGTCGTCTTCACGAAAGCCGCACATCATTGCATAATACTCGTGAAGGTGTAAATTGAGCATTCGCATTTTCCGGTTCGCTTTTAAAGCACGCTTAGCAAGGTCTCCTGACGAAACGTCATCTTCTTGAGGATTGAAGACCTTGCGCCTCTTGGCAGCATTCGACATATCAACGTCCTTTGCTACCGGTAGGTCAGCTGGCATCTTGCTACTTTAGATTAGATTACTTATTTTTCCAAGGGAACAACAAGGTTTTAAACAATGCACGTGTTTGTTACCCAGGGTTGTCAGGTTGTTTGGACTGTTTTTTCCCGATGTTGTATGTTGGACATATTAGGAAATGGGAAATCATCTGGCTTAGTAATTTGATTTAATCCGGAATTTAATCGGGAATCCAGGCAGATGTGCTATTTGTACTTGATTTTACAGGTAGAATTGGATTCAGACAATAAGTGGGTCCACTGAGCTCTTCAATAACTTCAAGTGTTTTCATCCGGTCTACTTCTTGATCAACATCGCCTACTACTTTGAGAGAGCGCTCCTAAATAGAGATAATAATAATAATAATAATAATAATTTGAAAGAGCATTTTTACATGGGTAATTTTCTTCTTAAAGTGGCGTTAGGCAACATGTCTATTCGAAGCTTAATGAGGCTAGAAAGTCACTCTTCTGTACGAGGTAGTATTTTTAAGGCTTCAAATACTTTCAGCTTTTGCTCAGTATTGAGGGTATATTCAGGAACGATTTCATCAGGATGGTTTCAAGGAGCTCTAGGAAAATCTAATGACGGAATTTCTTAACTCGGATCACTTTCCGGTACTGGATTAGAAGGTTATTTAAACTAATTTTCAAATGGATCTTCTGGACCTAACTTGAAAACTATTGACTGAT